AATGCCCCTCAATTCCAGCTGTCTCTCCCTCCCTCAACCCTATTCCCCCATCCTACCTGATGCTCCCATTCTTGTCCCCAAGCCCCCAGTCCACCTGTAAAATCTATACCGTTTCCCCCTCCCAGGGAAATCCGCGTGTCCTCTTAAGTTTGAAGCTTGAGTTACAGGGTGTTTACTTTGGGCTATGACGTGCTTCACTCATGTAGACATTCAAGACTCTACCTTCATACATTTGACATTATCCATAGTATATCTGTATGTTTGAGTGTATATGCTGACATGTTGTTATCATTTAATTTGTTATGTCTTGATAGTAGATGTAGAAATGCCCTTCATTCTTGTCTCTCTTCTGGTAGTGAGCTCACAATCCACAGTGTGTGGTGTTTAAATATAACCCTGTGCACCTGAAGACTCAGTTTGCAAAATCTATAGTCTGGCTTTTGCCAACTGAGACAATAAGTGAAGATTGAGTAAGTTTTTTGACTTTAGTGAAAGTATATAGTCTTACTAAAGTTAATGAGTAGACCATCAGGAAGCCACTAGATATTTTTCTTTTCAAGAACATATATCAAGAATAGTTACATTACATAGTTTGAAGACTGTAGAAGCACAGTAAAGAGTAATCCAGCCGGCTGGAATGAGGCTGTCCATCATGACATCCCTGGGTACTAGCATCAAGTCAAGTCTAGAAAACCAGCTTCAGACTGGAAGACCAAACATAGAGGACCCCTGAACCACGGTGGAGTCTGAGCCTTGTGCCTTGCACACGTTTAGTTCTACAAAGTGCTAGGTTATCCTTGTTCCCGGTCAGTGAGACTGGATGGCAGCCCTTGGAGTCACTGGGAGGGCAGAATCACCAGGCTCCCTGTGTGCTGTCTTGTCCGTGTCAAGCATGTTTGCACTAATATTCAACACGCGCCCCACACACTGTTGCGCCATCTTGAATCCAGAAAACTTCATTCATCAGAATTCTCAAAGTCCAGACCAATATAAAACCTCTTTGATGACTCCCTTATCTTTTCAAGAACCTCAGAAATATTACATCGTGACGACCTTAGGAATTTTCTCCAATTGTAATTGTAGTGGTGTGGAAAGGTGGATGGGGAACAATGTGAAACCTGATGTGAATTTGAAACTCAGCCTTCTGGACTCATCTGAAAAGGTGTCCCTGTGCATAATATACCACACTACCAAAGCATGTGTCATAACTTTGAATGGTTAGTCATAATTGTATCATTTTATTGTAACGTGTCCTCACTCACTTTCCTAGAAAGCAAATTTAGATTTTTTTTAAAAAAATTATTTTCAAATTCATTGTTCATTTAACAAATGAAATTGAATGTCAACGGGGTGCTTTGGTGGGTGGGAATTAGCTGAGAGTAGGTTTTTGCCTGTAAGAGGATCCTCATGAAAATACGGCTGGACTGAAATCATATGGGTTCATAGGAACGTGTGCCAGGTGTGGCTGACCACCTCTGAGATCCCAGTGCACGTGTGCAGATGCTGCGTTTGAGGTCAGTTCAGGCTACATAATGAATTCCAGTCCAGTCTGGCTGAAGTTTAAACATGTAAGGGAGAGGAAATCAGAAGTACTTATTGATTTCAAATTTGGAGTAGAGTAGGACTTTTGCATGTGATAGGAAGGATATCGGTGACCCTGAACATAACAGAATGGGGTCGGAACTATGAGAATAGTTTGAGCAAAATTAACTACAGTTTTGTTAATTACATTGTGTATTTTTAAGGTATACTATCCGAAAATTTATTATAGTCTTGCAGTATTTGACACAGCATTTTAAGTAGGAGTATTAAGTAGAATTATCTTTATCCATATAAAGATGTATACACCTAATGTATATATGTGAGAAAAAGTTGTCAACTTTAGGTCTGGATTTTCGTATTAATTTTCAACTCATGATATTTTACAGCAGATATTCAATACTAGAAGAATTATTTTGGACAAATCAACGATCCAAAGAATCATCTCTTCCATTTTCAAATGTTCTTACCAGCAACATTTGTAGCAGCGCGATTATCATCTACTGTGATGTGATCAGTTTGCTCTGTGGATTTTATTGTTCTGCAGTAGCAGATCACGTATCAACCAGATACATCTGCTATGTGTGTTCTCATGGATACACAAATGCTAAGCTGCCACACAAAACCAGAATCGTGAAAAAGAACTTTCAGAATGTCTTAAGAAAGTATTTCATATTTTCTCTAGGTTTTCTGGTTGGGTTTTCTCATTCTTAGTCACAAATGGCAGAGAACCGTTCCAAGTCTAGTTCAATAATGACATTTCCAACTGCGTCATAATGCGACATTTGGTAAAAGGCGGATTAGAAGAGCCAAATGTGTCACCCGTGATGAGGAAAATGAGACTGCAGTAATTAGTGTGCCATCTTCAAATATGAAATTAGTCTTCAGGTTCAGCACAGTAACACCGAGCCTCCGTGCCTGCAGACTCTGTGCGGAGTGCTCTACAGGCATCCTGTTCCGTCCCAAGCTCTCAGTAGGAAGATATTAGTCATTCCCATCATATACAGAGAAAGAACAAGTTTCTGGAAAGCCTAGGCTATCTGGTCATGGTCCAATAGAGAGTGAGTAGAGAAGCTGGGGCTGAGAATAGGTCCTCATAGGGACAGGCCCATCACCCAGGCTCTGTAGGTGAGAAAAATCGACGATTATTGAGGCCTGTTATCAAACAGCTAAGAATGAACAGAGCAGCGAGCAAGTGCAGGACTTTCCAATGTCAGGGGCTGTTTCTTAGACTGAGGTCAGCAGTTTGGACATGTCCTTTGTCATAACAGAACTGAGAAAGTAAGTTCTTTCTGGTTACTAATTGGCAGGGGCAGACTTTAAGGACAAAGTTGAGTACCAGAAATTAGTGGGAAAGGTAATTGCAGTGTCTTCTACTTAATCCATTTAGAACATCACTCCTAAGCAGAGTGTGTCTTGAGAAAGTAGTTTTTTTTTTTTTTTTTTTTTTTTTTTTCCTCTTCCAGTGTCCGCAGCCAGAACCTCGCTGCGTCCCTTAACAAGATCTGCAGCCCCACTCAGTGGCCCAGAATTAATCCATTCGGTTCTCTAAAATCAGTTAAACTCAAAACAAATCTGAGCCATAAAATATGCTTTGCATTGTACAAATAAAATTTTTAAAACTGAGTATCAGTGGCAGGCAGGGTTTTTCCATGTTGTCTGTCAGAATCACTGTGATACACTTCATTTTGGTGTGCTTGCCTTTGGAGTACTTACCCATGACATCCCAATTTGTGGCAATGAATGCTTATTAATTATATTTTTTAAACTCTTTGTTTGAGAATTCAGCAGAGGACAGGTGAAGCAACGGTCCACTGTTAAAATCCCTGTTGTAGGAGATAACCATTTATAAGTCAATGAGAGGCAGATACGCGGAGGGCACTATTAATTGTAAACACTAAACAATAATGTTTGGACATTAACTTGAATCTACATTTTCTTGAAGCTTCTTGTGTATGGTTGGTGGAGAAGTAGATTGTGCAACTATGTTGTTGGGTTGTGTGTGCAAGGTGGCATCTGTGACATTCCACCAAGGACACCCGAGTATATACCACCTTCTGCCCTTACCATGTCTTGCTTGGAAATATGACCCTGTTTGTCTTCTGAACAGATGTTTTAGCCACTCCTGTGGAGAGAGGCATCAGCCAAGTTCCATTTGTTTACAGCCATATATAATAACACAAGGGTGAAATTTTATGAAAGCGACTCATTCTAATTTGTATACCTTTACACGTTATATTAATTATGAATCCGTTACTTAAACAAAATGTAAGTTAATAAGTTAAACTACCGCTCATTGATGGTTTATTCGTTCCATATAGTATCATCGGGTAGATGCTCTCTTTAATTACAAGAAAGCTAAGCCTTAAATTCTGTACAGGCCCTGTGTCATAGGTGTTAACGCTCAAACGCTAGATAACAAATTGCCTTCCCTCACAATGTCCCTTCCTGATCTGCACAGAAATGTTATGAATGATGCATCCCAGTCTTCAAAGACCGGTAGTTACTGTTTTCATCTAATGCCTGAGAATCTGAACGATCTCCATAAATAATGAAGCCGTTCATTGTGTTCGAGGATTCTGCCTTCTTCACCGATATGATTTTCCCCTCATTTGAAAGAGTATTTAATTGCATTGCCCGTCCTCTTTAATATTTAATAATAATTTTATTAGCTGTATAGGATGAGAGGGACAAGATCTGTGGTATCTACTGCTGGTCATCAATTTTTTCTCATCATGACTTAATGAATATTATAATTACAAGGAAAGGCAGAAATATAAATTAGCTGGGTAGTTGGCTGGGACTTGCAAGCTTAGTAGTTTCAGCTAGGCAGACCCAGCATATGCAAAACACCCAGTGGTACTTCAGAGGCCCTGGTACAGATTTCCTCACACCTTCATAATCGTCTGTGCTTCAAATAAAGGGCACGGGCCATGAGTATGGATTTGAAGACGGTCCGTCACAGCTCCTCCTGCTCCCCAGCAGAGGAGTGAACGACTTACAAAACGTAGTCTTAGTGGGTCTATGTTCCTTGATCTCAGTAGTGTTGTGACAAATTTTCATTTTCACCCCTTAAAGAGTTCGATAATACTTTCCTGTCTGCAAAGGCACATGCATGGGTTGTTTTGAGTGGGAGCCTGCCCATGCCTGTAGTTGTGATAGTACTGCTTGTTTAAGTAGCAACTATCACCTGAGCTTTCCCAAGCGCTTTTGAGGACATTTTGTTAGGCCCATGGAAAGTTACTTGTAGTTACCACACATTTCATACCTCTGTGAAGCCGAACCAGGGCCTGGGGAGAAGGTAATTTTGTCTTTAGCTTTCTAGATGTGTACATATATGAAGCAATTGCTAAATTTTCAGTGCGTTTGTTCAGAAACGAAAAGAGATATTGTTGCATTATTGTTGCGTTTAATGTGCTCTTAAGCCTGTTTTAAAACAGATCATTTTTAACCCCCTCCAGCAACTGCTTCGAGAACGACAGCAGATGGCCAGCCGTCCCTTTGCTTCTGTTGATGTAGCTCTGGACGTAAGAGCGGAACAGACAGACTTTCTACGAGGGCCATTAGAGGTAGGAACAGGGGCACTGAGGGGACCGGTGTGATTTGCATATTTATATTGCCTCTCTAATCTGCATCTGCTTGTGAAGCCACACGGAGTCTGATTATCTGGAGTTGACAAGATCCAGCCACATATGTTATGGTATTTTCAAGGCACATAGTTTTAATGGCATGACACGAGCTGTAGCAAAATCCACCGGAGAGTCTATTAGCCGAGGCAAGAGTGACAGACGGCTCACCTGGCAGCCTTTGCCTGACAGATAGGAGCTGAAGGAATTTAAGGTGTAGTTAACAGTGGAAGACGTCGGATGCCATATTTAGTCCTCGGAGTATCCTGAACAATTCACATCCATCTTTATTAGCAAAATATTACTGTGTAAGGTGTGTGGAGATGAGCTGCATTTTAATTGCATAGTTTAGCTTTTTAAAGTTGAGTGTAGAATATTCTGGATATTTTCATTTGTGGGCCATGACGATTGTCACATAGCTTTGTTTCGTGCAGAAATAAGAGAGAAATGAGTTTTTTTTTTAAAGGGGGGTTGTGCACATTTGAGTGTGATGTTGGATTCTGACATAAAGTGAAATCATAACCATCAAAAGGAAAAACTCAGACTGTGAGGGATGGCTGTCCCAAGCTACTCAGGGCATTCTAGTCTAGTCATATGCTTCCTACTTTATTTATGTACCGTGTATGCAATGTCTAAAAAAACTCCAGAGTTGATGACTTTTATTCTACCTCTTAGAAATGCCACTATTTTACTAATTATGTTATTATCTGATATTTTTTTCCCTAAGGAAAGGAAGGAATTCAAAAATAGACTCATCCTGAAACCTAGGTACACATATATTTGATTTTGTCTGTAGGAACATAGTTTTGTTATTGTTAAAAAGTAAGTTCAAAGTATAACTCATGAATAAAATAGGAAACATTAGTTTTTGGATGAACTAAAATGTGTGTGTGTGTGTGAGAGAGAGAGAGAGAGAGAGAGAGAGAGAGAGAGAAAGACAAAGACAGAGAGAAAGAGAGAGAGCAGATTGTTGCTTCTGTATACTTGTCTCCTGCTGAAGGTTCATGGAAGATTAGAGCATTAAGGAACATATATATATCCCATTGTTTGAAGAGAAATTAGAAGGCAGAATGTATAAATTAAATGTATAGAAAACGCTCTAATTTTCAGTCCCCTGTTTCAGATAATGGGATCTAGAAACGTTAAAAACAAGGAGAAAATCCTAGACTGTTTAAACCTCTGTTCTCTGGTGTTGCATGCTCCAGTCATGGGAGAAGTAAATACAAGTGAATGTGTATGCAGGCCGTGTAGAAGGGGGGCGGGAGGAGGAAGCTGGGAAGGGGCGGGGCGGGGCGGGGCGTGTAGCTGCCTCACACCTGTCTTCAGTGGCTCCCCGACCGTGTGCCAGGTGCACGCGTGTTGGACATACAGCCTTCTAGGGGTGCCTCCTCCCACACATTTCTTTCCTCTACATTACGATTTTTCTTAACTTTTGTTGCATTTAAAAATGCCTATCTTCACGTCATGTATTTACACTCCTGGTTCACGTTCTTCGTTGAGGGCCCTCCGGCATCCCTGTATTTGGTATTTCTCTGCACCCTTCGTCGAGAGCCCTCCGGCATCCCTGTATTTGGTATTTCTCTGCACCCTTCGTCGAGATCCCTCCGGCATCCCTGTATTTGGTATTTCTCTGCACCCTTCTTTCATCCTTACTCCGTGTGCAAACGGGCTGTTAGCTTTCTGTTCTCCAGCCCGCTCCAAGCCTGCCTTTACTCGGGTGTTTACACTGAAACACAGCACTGTCCCACAAGGCCACAAGGTGGGCTCCAGCTGCTCAGGTGCCTGCCAGGGGGAGGGGCGGTGTGCAGGGCAGAGAGAAACCTTTATGTTTATTACACCACTTCTCCTCAGAAATTTAGCTGCAAGATATCACGGGGAAAAATAATTACATGCTACCTCCCATTTAGTAAGTCCATGTTATCCGGGACTGAGTTCTAATTATAGATGTATAGGGTATTTATTTCCTGCTGAGCTATAATTCATATAATACGCAGTGCACCCACTCACAGTATATAATCTATTGTTTTTAGTATAAACATGGAGTTGTGTTATCACTTCCCAGGTTAATTTATAGTATTTCCATTTGCACTCACCCACATCCTCCCCCCCGCCCCCAGACATCTTCTCTTGCCCTAGGCAACTGCTAACCCATTCCTGTCTTTATATGTTTGTTTTTCCTATTTGGAGCAATTTGTATAAACGGAATCATGCGATGCATGTTCTCTGACTCCCGACTTTCACGAAGCACTACAGTTTGGGCATCTGTCTCTGCCGTGGACTGTTAGTACGTAGTTCTGTTTTGTTACACGTTATGCTGTATTGTGTGCAGTCCAAGCTGCTTATTCGGCCCTCCTGCCTGAGCTTCCTGGGTGTCTAGAGTACAGGTGTGCACCACCGTGCCCAGCTCCCCTGCCTTTGTTAGTGGAGTTCCTCAGCTGACAGACTGTTTCTCTTTGGGAATAGTCCTGATGACACGTCATAGATATTATGGAAAATGCAGAGTTTACATTTGATAAGTCCAAGTTTGGAATCGCTGGGCTTTGATGTTTTGTAAACTGTTGAAAAGACTCTTTCTGTGTTGGAAGGCTTAGTTTGCCTTTTGAAAATCACTGATCTTAAATGGAGAGTTTCTTCCTGGGCCCTTCTCCTGATGTCTGCAGTGTGTTTGGAATCAGAAAAGGCAAGCCCTCCAACTCTGCTCTTTATGCAAACACCTTGGCTCTTCTTGTCCCTTGAAATTCCATGTAAACCATAGGATCAGGTTTCCTTTTCTGCTGAGGACATTGCAATTCGGGAGATATTTTGGGGGCTTACACTGGTTGGTTGCTCCTACTGTAAAAGTAAACATCTGAATTTCATGTTGTCTTGGCAGCTTGGTGCTAATTCCTCCCTTCAGAAAATGAGAGGTAGAAGTCGGCTTTTAAGATTATATTTCATTTCCTGTTTGCTCTGCTCTTTGTAATAATTGCCACTAATGAGAAACTTTTAAGCTTTGGTTTATTAATCATTATTGCAGAATACTGACAGCTGTTTCAAATCTCCCTTTTTAAATACACATAACAACACAATGTGGTTTATTGATTTGCTTACACGGCTAACTGTGAAACCTGGGCCCGTTGTGAAATCACATTAAAGGTTTTAGATAAATCTGGAAACCAAAGTGCTTAAAGTTATTAGGATAGGTTTTTCTTAAAGTTCAGTGTTAAAACCCAACGCAGTGCCACGGGTCAGTGGGCTATTGGTGTTATTAAGGAAATATTGATTATTTGTAATGTGGTTAGTTAAACAATGTGTTTGTATTAAATTAATTTGGCTCCTAGGTGCAGTCTTGAGAGTCACGTCAGTACGGTCAGGTGAAAACGTAAGGTAGAGTAGGAGATGATTATCTTTTATATCCTGCTGTTCAGCACAGCTGGGGTAACCGTGCATGACTGTCCATGAGCTCACACATTTTGGAAGTTACTTAAATAATGAATCTTTAGTGGACTTTAACAGTTCAAAACCCCTTTGGTTAAAAAACAAAATATATCCTATACATAATTACTGTAAACCAAGTATTAGTAAATTTGAATCACGATTTATATTATCAGGGAAATTAATATCTACCACTCAATCTAACGAATACGTCTAGAGCATGAATTTCCCTGTCAAGCAGTCTGTTACTGATCTCACAGGTAAAGGATTGTTTTGTGGTCGTCGTGTGATACGTGGGATATATTTGTTGTTTTTCTTCCACTTGTTGTCAAGTAACTGCGACTTCTGGTGTTAAAAGAAGTCCTATGACTGTACATGTCCAGTGATGTCAGTTACATGACACCTTAAATTTTCTTTTTTTAATAAATTCAATTTGGAAAAATGCCATCCAGTAAATATCCTAGAGCTTAAATCGATTGTTTAACCTCTCCCTGTGAAAAACAGACATCTCAGTGTGTCTCAGAAGTTCGGTGCGAATGTCTTCCTTTGTTGTCTTTAAGAACGGGAGAGATTTTTACAGTAGGTTTCGTGGAATGTTCCCTCTGTGCCAGGCACTGTCTGAGCAGTCCAGGAGTGTCAGGGAATACAGTGAAGAACCTGTCCCCATGGGGCCCATATTCCAACAGGAGAAAGTAATTTTTATTGCAGGGAGAGGTGTCAGTACAATGCCAGAGGGAAAAGCAGGAAGCTGCAGGTTGTGAGATTGGGCGTGCTCTGCGGGGTGGAGAGGCTCAGTGTGCACAGAGTTACAATCAGAACAGAAGAGATGATGCTAATTGTACATGGAGTTCGGTGGTGCCGTAACCCGTTTGTGGGCCTTCACTTGGATCCAGCCGACTTGCCGGTTCCTACCTGAGAGGGGTGGTGTGGATTGAGAAATGGCAGGTAAAGACAGTAAGAAAGACACAGACACAGGATGGAGTCAGAAGGGCAATCCAGTGAATACCGAACGCCCAAGTTTATTTTTCACCATTCTTAGATACCCCTGCCAAAAAGGGGCCATGGTATCATGTGTAAACAGACTTTCTTCCTTCTCCAAGCATTTGGTAACCACACCTTAATTTCTCGTGATCTGGCCTTGAATGTCTAGAGTAACCACACCTCAGACCAAGTCTGTTGTTGTTTGGATGAGACACCCAAGGCCAAGATCAAACACCCTACTATAGCAACGCCTTGGACCTTTAGGTTTTTTGACTCACTAAGGACAGTTTTGAACTCTTTGACCTTGAGGCAAGATGAAGCAAAGCCATCTTTATGGGCCCCGACAGTATGGAATATCACAACCAAAGATTTGTATTCCAGAGGCAGCGAGCAGTCATGGGAATCTGGTGTCAGGAGATGACTGTGTATCCTGCAGACCACTTAAAAACACTGATGCTCCAGTAATGAGAAAGCCGGTGTGGGCTCTGAGGCGAATGAGGTCTACTGCAAGCTTTTAGCCGACCTCTTCCTATTGTGGATGGAGAAGC